ATAATTTTACTTTTTTCGTGGACTTTTAAGCTTTTCATTTATTGTTAATGGCTTTCATACACACTTATGACGTACTTTAATATAATAAAAACAAAACACGAAATGACTATACAAAAGTCATGATAAACGATTTCATTATTGAAAGGTAGTTTATTTAAGATGATAATTTCACTTAATTGATTTATGATGTTGAGCATTGAAAGTATTAATATAAAAGATGTTATTATTTATTTTAAGAAACAAACTTACAGAAATAATTATTTGTATTAATTTAATTAAATAAAAATAAAGTTATTAAAATCTTGCACTTTAATAATTTTGAAAAAAACATTACAAAATAAATAATTTATTTTTAAAACTACGTACGAGTCCACAGATCTGTGAATTAAACATTATGCGAAAAGGATAAAAATGTTAGTTAGACCGATCTGAATCCGGCCAGCTTTTTGCATGTCAAACGGGGAAAACCGAAGAGGAGGTTCCCATTACCTTGTGTACCTATACAGCAGACTTGCACATACTAAAGAATTAGTAAAGTAGTTTATTTTATTGGGTTTCTTTAAAAAATATTATTAATATACAGACTTTATTCTTATTGATTATTAAATCTCATTAACTTATTATTAATAATGTGAACGCATTAAATCTGTCATCGTAATCAAGCTGCTCATAACGATACGTGGAGAAAAAAATATCAAATAGTTTCTAAAAGTCGTAAATTATCACAGTTCCTATAAACCATAAATTATTATCTTATAAAAAGAAACAAAACAAAAGTAACAATAGTATTTCTTTATATAGTATCTTATATAAGATAAGAGAAAAAGAATAACTATTTATTTTTAAAATTAAACTTTTCAGTTTTCTAAGCGTTATTTTTAATATAATGGCTTAAAATTGGAGTAAAAAGGAAACTAGTTATATCTTAAGCAATATATAAACATTGGTAAGATAACCGAACTACAAGGAATAATAAGACATTGTGATCGTTTTAACTTACGATATTTTAGAAGCAAAAGAAAATGATAAAAAGAGAATGAAAAGAAAGAGATGAAGCAAGCAAACTGTGAAGGCGTTGACCTGAAAGTGTGAATTCTACAAAGTATAGGAATGGGGTATATGCGAGATATATACCTCTCTGGTTCTGGATTTTTGAAATATCCTAAGCACTATATATAACAACTCCTTCTCCCCTCTTTTATCTCTTCGTTCCAAACCACCACGTCATCCTCCTCCTTCAACCTAACCGTGGTAACAACCGGTGTCTGCTGTCGGTAGCAGGTGAGACCCTATTTCAATTCATGGAAAGTTCTCTTCTTCCATTTTTTGCTGATGCATGGAACTTGTAGTGGAAATAACTCACTGTAGTTGTAGTCTGTTCCAGAGTTCCTCATAGTGGGAGGCCCACTTTTCTAAGCACAACACAACTTCACTTTCTCCATTTATAATATAATTAATCATTACCCTTCCCCCACTAAAAATCTGGAATCTCTTTTTAACCCTATCATCCAGGATATCGATTTCATGATTCTTATCTTCTATCATCACGACTGACCCACCCATTTTGCAAAGTGCTGCTTCTCCTCCTGTTATTCTCAACCAACAAATCAAACTCAAAAGAGAACTACTTTCTGCCTTATCCCTTCTCTTAATTCCTTTTTTTATGGAGTTTCTGCTGATTTTCCGTGCAACAACACCAACCTCGTTCCCTCAAACAAAACCGAAAATTCGCACTGAAATTTATTGTTCGGAAAACAAATTTAACTAACCCTCCTCCTCTGCCTTCTGTTTTTCGATTTATTTAACTTTAACAGTTTTGGATAAGTCTTTTCCAGCGTCTATGCTTCTTTTGTCTTTACCAATTATGAGATTTTTCTGGTTTCCTCGTGCTACTCGTGGTCTGCTAGTGACTGGCTTCAACACCATATTTCCTGTTTGCAATCTATTCGCACCCCTTTTTTCTCCATGTTTTCGCTCATTAGGTTTGGTAGGGACACGAGAAAAAAATAGTGCAAAATTACCTCTGAATTTCCAAAATTTTCTTTGTCTTGGTATATACTGAAGTTGACTCGCCGGTTCAATAGTTCATGCGGTTGTTCCACTCTAAGCAATTTAGGGAGGCAGTTAAACCTTACTTGAAGCGATAATAAATCTTCTTATACACAATTTTCACATGACTTTGTTATTGTGTTAATCTTTCTTTTCATACAAAAGATCTTATCAATTTAATGGTAAACTTGATTTTATATGATAAGGTTTTGTTAACGTATATATGAAGTGAGAAGCTTTCAGAGCTGGAATTGGAGTCTTTGTTAGTTTACCGTCAAATTCCTTTCAAACATTTTCTAGATTTAATTTGGGATTATTCAACTTTGGTGGCTGTTGACTATGGATATAGTAGAAAAAAACCGTAGTAGGTGTTTTTTTTTTTTTATCATCAATCCATTGCATCAGCCTTAGAAAGACGAACATCAGCTGTATTTCTATTTTTCAAATCGTTGAAATTATTAATTTCTTAAAAAAGTCTACTCCACTTATTTTGTCAATAATTCAATTTTTTGTGATAATTAGTAGAAAGTGAGGAACACGTTCATACTACTCCTTGGCTATTATTGCAAATAACAGTTTTTTCCATTCATTGTTTTGTTATGAAAAACAATAACAAAGGGAAGAAGAATATGGAGTTGTGTTAGTCACACATATAGAAACCGTTATCTTTTTATGTTGTGCTGAAAATTTCTAATCGTTGCTTGGGGCACATCAGGTAAAAGAGTTAGTGAGTGATGTCTGGAAGAGAATTGGGAGTGCTTAATGCACTCGATTTGGCGAAGACGCAATGGTACCACTTCACAGCTATTGTGATTGCTGGAATGGGATTCTTTACCGATGCCTATGATCTCTTCTGTATTTCTCTTGTCACCAAATTGCTGGGGAGGATATATTACACAGACATATCCAAACCAAAGCCTGGTGTTCTTCCTCCTAATGTGCAAGCTGCAGTGACTGGTGTAGCACTGTGCGGTACTTTGGCTGGCCAGCTTTTCTTTGGATGGCTTGGTGACAAGTTGGGAAGGAAAAAGGTTTATGGCTTAACTCTTATGCTGATGGTAGTGTGTTCCCTTGCCTCGGGGCTCTCTTTTGGAGATACCCCAAAGGGTGTCATGGCCACACTTTGTTTCTTCAGGTTCTGGCTTGGCTTTGGGATTGGTGGTGACTACCCTCTATCGGCTACAATCATGTCTGAATATGCCAACAAAAAGACTCGAGGGGCATTCATTGCTGCAGTGTTTGCCATGCAGGGATTTGGAATCTTGGCTGGTGGAATAGTTGCCTTGATTGTGTCATCTGCATATGACCACAAATACGATCTTCCCAGTTACGCAGAAAACCCAGAAGGATCAATAGTTCATTCCCTTGATTATGTTTGGCGTATCATTTTGATGTTTGGTGCAGTCCCAGCTGCGGTTACCTACTACTGGCGTATGAAAATGCCAGAGACAGCTCGTTACACCGCCCTCGTAGCCAGGAATGCAAAACAAGCTGCTTCAGACATGTCCAAGGTGCTTCAAGTTGAGATTGAAGCTGAAGAGGATAAGTTGAACCACATTGTCGAGAGTGAAAACCAAAGTTATGGCTTGTTCAGCAAGGAATTTGCCAAACGCCATGGGTTGCACTTGCTTGGAACCACAGTAACATGGTTTTTGTTGGACATTGCCTTCTACAGCCAGAACCTTTTCCAAAAGGACATTTTCAGTGCCATTGGATGGCTCCCTCCTTCACAAGAAATGAATGCAATCCATGAAGTTTATAGGATTGCAAGAGCACAAACACTCATAGCACTTTGCAGCACCGTGCCGGGGTACTGGTTTACCGTGGCCTTTATTGATTACATGGGACGTTTCGCCATCCAATTGATGGGTTTCTTCTTCATGACTGTCTTCATGTTTGCTCTTGCCATACCTTACAATCACTGGACCAAGAGAGAAAACAGAATTGGGTTTGTTGTGATGTACTCTCTCACCTTTTTTTTCTCCAATTTTGGTCCAAATGCCACCACGTTTGTTGTACCAGCAGAGATTTTCCCAGCAAGGTTAAGATCCACCTGTCATGGAATCTCAGCTGCAGCAGGAAAGGCAGGAGCAATTGTGGGTGCATTTGGGTTCTTGTATGCTGCACAGAGTACGGACCCCAAAAAGGTTGATCACGGTTACCCAACTGGTATTGGGGTTAAGAACTCTCTCATTGTGCTTGGTGTGGTCAACTTCTTAGGAATGTTATTCACCTTCTTAGTGCCAGAATCAAAGGGAAAATCACTGGAAGAGTTGAGTGGGGAGAATGAAGAAGGTCCTGAGGCTGTAGAGATGGCAGGGTCTGCTAGGACGGTTCCAGTTTAATCAACAAAGTAGTCCAAAATTCAAGTAATGCCACTATTGTATGACAGTTTTAGTTCAGGTTTCTACAGCCAAATGCACTATATGATGTAGATATATGTTTCTCGATGTTGTAATTTTAAATCAATAACCAACGGTGTGCATTTCATTCCTGTCTTTAATTTAAAGAGGCGCTTAAATCATACGTGTATTTCATATCTGTAGCTGAAGGTATTGAAGAAAAGTTTTGTTTTGAGTTCTCACTATGATATCATATATATGTATATGCATACTTTTACTGTGGAACAGATTCTACAATATTAATTCAATAATAAAAGGTTTTATTTTTTAATTTTCTTTCCTCCATTTTGTATGGCAGAGACAATTTTTTTTAAGATAATTCATATATCTTGTACAGGCTTATGGTAAATAGAA